CATTGTCTGTTTGAGGCTATTAAACTTACAACAGGACAGCAAAATATCACTTACAGTGGAAAGTAATGCAATATCAAAGAAACAATCATTGTGACGATAAACAAAATCTATAGCTGGAAGCAAATGTCCCTGTAATATAAGACCTAAACCAAACAGAGAAAAGTTTACACAATCAGCAAAAGCAAACAAACCAAACCTAAAGGTAAAGCAGAGGATCATTCCTAAAATAGAGCATGAGAAGGAATTTTACCTGTCAAGCTGAGAACACAAGAGCACAATGTTGTGTAGAATATTTGATTGTGTATTTCCATATCATAGCCTTTGAATAGTTTATCTTGAAATGTGCTTGTGAAGCCATCAAACCTATGAAACAAAGAAATGAGCATCTAATGCATCAAAAACGTTTTCCCCTGAAAGTTGAAAGCATTCAGAATTGCAATGCTAGTTGGATTGAGACTAAAGAAATACTTCAGTCGAAAGTAGCCTTGTATGAAGGAGCCGTTATTGACTAATATAAGTCAATCAATGCTACAGATATCATCGATTTTTTTTTTTGAATAATAACAGATATCAGCAATTAATAAGCAATTGAGAGTTTAGACCTACCATTGTACATACATGATTTTATATTTTGAATATCCAATTTCAGAAAGGATGAACAAATACAAAATATCCTTTATGGGGAGAGGAATAAGTTTCAGATTGATACCCAAGATAACCAAGCATCAGGGAAACGCCCCAAACAGTATTTTCTCTTCCTTTGCTGTAAGGACTAATGTCAGTTCCTGCCTATGGGGAAGGCAGAATTAGTTTAAAAATATTAGAGTTATAGCACAATCTAAAGCAGCTAATCTGCACTAAAAATAACAAGAAATCATCATGTATAGAATGAATCACGTATGACAGCAACCATCAGATAAAGCAGCTGAACCAATATCTATTTATAATACCATGGTTCAATGCTTCATGACTTTATATATCTATTCTCCTTCCATCCACCAATAAAGCTCTTATATAAACCAAAGCAAATCATGTACATGGAAATGAAGACATGCTGAGAATCATCAAAGCATCCGAGGCGTAAACGACCACAAGGAAAATAATGAAATCGGAATTAGTGATGTTGACAAAGACCAGAATTTTACCGGAAACAGTATAAATATTGAACAACCTAGGGTCACCAGAAAAGCCACCAGATAGTCAAAACCCTTATATGTCTTCTGCATGATGAAAGTGCCCCAAATCTGTATGAAACAAAAGTAGAAAAGAAGTCAGAAAACTTTGCCACTTGAAAGTGATAATAAGAAATATGGGGAGAGGGGGGGAAGGGATGAACTAGCGTTAGGCATCCATTAGATGAAATTGAAAAAAATCATCCTCAGACAATGAGCAACATCATATTTCATGGAAGGATATAAGACATACAACATAAAATTAGGAAGAAAGGATGTTTGCAATGACCTTTAGTCCAAAAACTTACACAACCATTTGGATAAATAGTATGCATAAACCTTCATAATTAGTCATGCAAAATTAACTTACCATAACAGGTATCATTTTGGCACACTTAGCAAGAGTCTGAACTGGAAAGCTGACATACTTGAGGGCCTAAAACACACAAATGTTGTCATTAAAATTATACCATGACTGCATCTAGAGGTGCTTATTAAAGCAAATTTATGTTCAATACAAAATACTGTCTGCAGATTAGAGTTTTTGTGGAGAGCAACATCATCATAATAATGCTGATATAAGGAGAACGCTTTACCTCATACTGACATGTTGTGGTTAGGATGTTTGATACCGATATGAGGCAGTACTTATAGACTGGAGCAACAGGATCCAACGCTTTCCTACTTGCCTAGAAAGAGAAAATAAAAGCAAATGAAAATATATCAGCACATCTTGCCATCTTCTGTGTGAGATTCATCT